ATGAAAAAAAAAACTTCGATGTTCGAAGAGACTTGGACACGGCCTGAAATCGAATCTCGAAATTCTCGATGGGCTGTTGTGGTAAATATTTTAGTCTCTGCCAAGCAGCCTGTGATTTATGTCTGAAGTAAATCATGCGTTATGCGTATCCTTCAAAGCGAGCCTCACAACGAGCCCTTCATCATTTTAGATATATCACAATGAGGAGAAATAACTTGTCATGTCGCTTGCGAGGCCGATTTTCTTAGCAGTCATTTTTTCCAATCTTAGTTCACGCGCGGTGCCTTCTCTCCTCCTCTCCTCACGTTCAATAATTTTTGCAATAATTTTTGAGAAATTATAATTGCATTATCATGTATGAATGCTATGGAAAAAAATGCTTAATGAGAATATTCTTTTATGTCGATAATCAATAATAATCGCGACTAAAGAAAACATTTTTGTAAAAACTCCCAATAACGTAATATAATAATAATAATAATAATTTATTAATTATTATAATACATATTGTTTCGTAAGTTTGCACGAAGTATTTAAATTATTTTGCAAACATAGCGCATTAATTTTTCGAAAAATAATATTTCTGTCAAACGTAATTATCTGAGAGAAACAGTTTCGTAATGCAAATTATGACGTTCGTGCTATTCATATAAAAAATACGAATTCTCTCTCCATCGTGCGATTGTACCGACATGTAAGATGGCAGTCGCGTGTGCTATCAACGTTCTGCGAAGGTAGGGGAAATTAAATTAAATTTAAATTAAGTTCAATTAATTAAGCCGCTTCTCCCGTGGGAACTACGCTTCTGCGCTCACTCGTTGTCCCTGAAATTCACCTCTTGCAAAAGGGCTGCCAGTGAGGATAGTGATCCTTGTTTGGCTCCGAATACGGAACTAATCTCTTTTAAATTAGTATTAAATTCTAAACGGTCCCGAGTCTGTACGCGGCGTTATTAAATTCCACTACGGTACCACGTGTTGCCGCGAAATTTTCTCGCTTCGAACGAGTCGTTGCGGACCCGATGTTTTACACCGATCATAAATACGGTGGACTCCTCTATTACGTTCCGGTAGTGTTACGATTTCTGCAATATATGATGTAATCTTTCATCTCCGAAATTGTCTCGACAAGATTTAAAGAGCGCTTTGAAACATCTGTGAATTTTCAATGATATGCTATTAATATATGTTGCACATATTCATATGTCTGTTTTACTTAATATTCTTAAAATATATAAGAATCACAAAAACGAATAATTCTAAGAATGATGACGTCTATAATATTTTGAACGTAGTAAAACGATATTAGCTGCAATAAGTACGATCAAAATGGATCAAATAAAGAATTAATTATTTTTTCCTGCACAAACAACTCGTTTTTTGCTTGATAATAAAGATGAATAATGCTCGATACGTTTCAGTTTCCGACTATTATTTTCTTAAACCTGTATTCCGGTTACAATTTGATTCAAGATTGCATACGTCGGATTCGTAACCAATGCTGCAAGTGGCAGATCGCAAGACACTGGCAGCAAAAGAGATATACGATAACGGCAGACAATTCGAGTGAGCTTTCGAAGCGCCGTAGGTACCGTGCCAAAGAGCTCAGACTACCTTAGCCTGTTTCAGTAGATACTACGTGCACATACACACACACACACACACACACACACACACACACATACTCACGTATATATATACTTCGGTATTTAAGCAACCAATTACCTCGTATACCGAACGATCGTAACGGAGGATCGTAATATGGAAGCGGCGACCGGTGCTGGTGCTACCTTATAAATTTCACAGAATTGGCTGCGCTGCGCCGAAGAATCACGAGGCACGCATAGCCGGCAATAATGACACCGGGTTCGGTATTAAAATTTTCCAAAAATAAGGAGCGCGACTGCCATATATTACGTGGCGCGAATTGCCTTGTGCACTTTTGCGAGCTAACTACCGATAATGCGATCGATATTGCAATATCTACTTTTCTGTAAAATGGATGATTTAAACAGGATTTTTCTGTTCTGACAATGTTGATAAAGTAAATAAATCAAGGCAAGGCAATGGTGCGTTGTATTACTTAATTAATATAATCCATATATACTGTCGGCATATTTTAATTGCATGAGAAAATGTCTTACTGATAAAAAAAAAACATTCCGCTTGTGATTACTTTAATTTACAATTTTTTATTTTTTTATATAGTTTGAATATTATTTAACATTCACAACGAGTTTAAAACTGATATGTATGTCAGTTATAAAAAATATTTCAATGAGGAATAAAATTATTTCTAGACTCGATTATTTATACGTGCATTTTTATTCTTGGAATTTCTTGGTTCTTCATCCTGAAGCACGTTCTAATGTGCTTGAAAGTTTCTTTTTTCTTTAAAACAAGCGTAATTGTACCTTTAGAGTTTCTTTCTTGAAATAGTCGCAAACGATGTTCTTCTCTCGCACTAATAGAACGCATCTACGTGCATCGCGACTCGAAACTTGCAAAATATTCTCTAAAAGTTGTGGCTGTGCACCGCGTCGAGGTCACGTTTCTGGCTAGAGGCCGGCTCCTCGGAGAGAGACTGAAAAATGAATCTTCTCCACAGTAGGCGAGATAGGTGCCGAGACGGTCATACATTTCGTACGAAAGGATCTTCCAGTTCGACTTTTTTTTGGTAGATGAAACTATTGCGTGCCGAAACCTAGCTACTGCTTATTCATATTTCATGACGATGAATTAAAAGTGGGCGTCGATGCAAACTCGGAAAAGTTACTTATTTAATGATAGAACCAAACGACACGGCCATCTGTTATATATTATATACGTATACATCCAAAAATTTGTTTTGGACGCATATGTATATAATAATATTTAATAATATTTATTTAAATATATAATAATATTTAACAGATAGGCTTCGAATTAGATATGTTTTATTTTTTACTTTATCATGTTGATTAAAATAATATAATAAAGATATAAAAAAAACGTATAATTATGATCATCTAAATTAAGCGATAGAGTTATTTCATAAATAAGCTTCCTTTTCCTGTATCAAGTGATGAAATTCTTATTTTAATTTATCCTTCGTACTTTTGGCGTGAGATCTTCTCCTCTTTCGTATGTCATTACAAGTATCTTCTTATATAATCCTCGATCCTTTATATTCTGAACTACCCAAGTAAATAAATCACCGTATCACCTCAATATATTCAACTCCAAGCAATTACTCGTGCTAAATGAATAGATGATAAGCACATTTATTACGTTGAAGGGGCAATTTGTAAACACTCGGTAGCAGAACAGAATAATTATTTGTCTATTAGTATAATAATAATTTGTCATTTATTATAATTGCAAATATCTCTAAATTAATAAATTAATGTAATATATTTCAAAAAATATGATAAGCATAAAAATCGAAGCATTAACCTTCTAACAGAGAAAATTATATATAGAAATAATAAATGTATTAAATATAGAAAATAAAAATGTGTGTTAATAATATTGTATATAATATTGTATTAATATGTGTTATAAATAGAACCGTGGCGAAACGATTAATCTATCATATAAACAGTGAGGGAGAGCCTATAGACTGAAAGACGTGCTGTGCTGAAAGGGGTCTTGAATTTAAGCATGGGATAAATACAGGCGATGTTAATAAAGTCTTATCGGCGTGAGACCATGCGTGTCGACTTAAAGCCATGAACACACTAATCCGCTATATGCTAATGTCAGTCGAGAAAACAGTCGAGTAAGATAATGCAATCTTCCCCGTCATGCGCTACGTAGAACGACGTATGGGGATAGTGGGATTGCGGTTAAGATGGCTCCGAAAGAGCTGCTCGTTTTCAAAGATTTAAGTAATTGAAAGGTTTAAGTAATTGCTTTAAAAAAATGATAAACATTAAGGTTTTTCCAATAATATTCTAATCATCTATGCTTTTTCGAAATATCTTCTCGTGGCAAATACTCGTGTATCATGAAGAATTGAACAGCACAGGTAGGAACGAGAATGGGGGAAAAACACGAGTGAATTCAGCGCGTTGCGGATTCGGCATATCATATTTATGACACGGACACGACGTAATCTGGAACATTATATAATGCGCAGCAAATCGGAAAGGAGAAAAAGATTCGATGGCAGATAGCTTTGCGAATAAAATCCGAGTTGACATAACGCAGCAGCATTACGTACAGCGTAACGTATCTCATCTCATAGTGACTTGTGTATATGTATTTCTGTATTTCATGTATATCTTTTATAAATCTTTTTCTCTTGAGATCTCACGAATAACTTTGATTCTCCTCTCGTATCTTTGTTGTCTTTTCGACAATCATATTATCGCGGATCTGTGAAGTTAGCACGCCATATTTTTATATTTGATATTTTCATATAAAAAATGCGGAACTTTTTTTTATTTTTCGGTAGAGCTGTAGAACTATGAAAAGTGCTACTGGAACTGTCATTATTTTTTTTATATTAATAAAATGTCGTGCTAGCTTCACAGATCCCATTATCGCGTGTAAAAAGTAATAAGAACGGTACATTAGAATTCAGTAATTGATTATTTATTGATTAAAAGTAGGCTCGGAGTGGAATTATGCAAAAATTTTGAAGTTTTGTAATCTGGATGAAATTATATTAAATTATAACGGTATCTTTGATACAATACTAACGCTGCATGGATAAAATCAGTTATTTAGTGTTGAAAAAAAAAAGATTAATAAGATGAGAGGTTCTAATATACATATATAATAAGTTAATAAATATAAATTTTTACTTTCTTTCTCTTTTTTATACAATTTATGAATTTCCGCATAGCTTGTAAACTTTTGTTATTTTCAGTTTTATTCGTCTAGATTATTACAAATTATTCAAAATTTGCATGCATTCTTATTTGAAAACTATGTATAAATTAATCTATATATATATATATATATATATATATATATAGAGAGAGAGAGAGAGAGAAACTTTGTCTATTCAAACATGACAATTATTCAAATCTGATGTAAATTGCTTTAATATGACGCATTGCTTTAATATCTTCTGGGCTAATTATTGCGTAAAATATTACTTTTAATATTTACTCAATTTTCTTTCGCAAGTATGATTTTCTATAATAATCTAAAAACATATAGAATACGACAACAACTTGAGACATGTAAATGTATGCTAATGGTTTCCGCGTTGGTTCACAAGACGGTAGAAATGCTTGAAACGTATGGATCATCATAATAGTAAATTGAATCTGAAACAAAGAAAATTATATTGAGTTTCAGCATAATAAATGAAAAGACACATTTTTATAATAACCACTTCGCGCATATTTTTTAACAGCTAATTAAAAGTTTACGAATGTGAAATATTTACTCAAATTTCCTAGATTGAACTTGTCTGAAAGTATTTAAACATTCCATTAAGAAATTATTCCGAAGAAGGTAAATAAATAAATATTTTCACGCCGTGTAAAAGTAGTAAAGACACATAATATTCACATATAGTGCACGCTTGACGAATTCGATATACCGCATGCAAAAAAGCACACGCCATTTTGCCCTTCCTCGTTCAACCTGACCGGAATTCTAGAGCGCAAAAGCGCTCCGCGCGAAATTAAACAACCACGTAACCCGATAAATCGTTCCGTCGATATCGCTGGAAATAAAAATTCTCTGGTAACGGATTATTTAATTAAAAACGGTACTGCGAGCCTTCGTCCACCCGTCTCCCTGCCCCTCGCTGTTACGCTCAAATGCAAACCGAATTGAGATTCGACGAGAACACATGTGATTCTGCAAGCAGCGCTTACGGAACTTTTCAATCCCTCGTGAAAAGCCAGTTATCGAGTTACAGGAGCGCTGTAACCACAATGAAGTCCGCGTATATATGAACATATCACGCGAAACGCGCTATTCCATATGCCTGTATGAATCTGGTATAGGAAAGCTAATGCTTTTCGAAACTTATCAAATCGAATGTGGAAATCTTATTACGCTTGAAACAGCGATGGCTAAAAATTAGTTGGAACATCGTACAATACAATATCGTATAACGAATGTAAATTGATGTAAAACAACTACATACCAGTTGCAAACGTGTTACATATTTTTTCCAAGGAGCTACTATTTTCTGCATTTTTGGTCCCAAACAAGCACAAAGATAATATGTGTACATAATTACATGTACTACGCAATTGGGCATCATTATAAAGGTCCACATGCCGCCTGTAGATAAAATATGAAAGTGAATCATTATATAGTTAGAATTGATATTAGAATTAAATCAATATATATATGTAATACTCGACTTTTTTTTATCAAAACGTGAAAGCTAATAATTTACTAAATTTTCTTCTAAAATCATTACAATTATTGCTTCGTAATGCATACCAGGTGCATATTTACAAGTAATCCATGCCAAAAGGAAAGTTACTGTGTGATGATATACGTGAAGAAATGAAATTTGATTATATTTTTTTCTAAAAATAAAAATCACAGTATCTGCAAGCTCAGTGATTTTTAGAATTAAGACCCACCATACCCATCGAGCCATCTGTAAATAATAAAACTTCATTATCTTATTATATAGAATGTTTCTATATTAATATATTAAAAAGATTTTTCTATTGATTAATTTTTAATTTTATTTATATATTAAATTATCGAAGCTTTTGTCTAAATTTTTTAATATAGTCAGAATGAGCGATAATATAAAATTTAATTTTAACATAAATTTTAATCGTAGTTACTTACGCTAAGCGACATAGAATCATCTGAAATGACAAAAGGTTCACATCCCATAGATAGATGTGTTGTAAAGCCAGATGTAAGTAACTAGAAAACAGATAAGAAATTACAGTTCAGATTTAAAAATATTAATAGAGAAATATAAATAGGGAAAATATAAAATATTTATAACTAAAAAATCTTTTATCGCATATATTAAATTATTTATTTATTTATTAAGTATACTTACGCCATAGAAAATAATTGCACTTGCAGTTGCAACAAAAATGTTATAACATATCATAGTCTTGATAAGCGCATAAGGTTTTCTTTTTTTCATATAAAGTGGTCCGAGATAAAGCACAAAAGATAAATAAGCGAGTGAAATCAATATTACACCAAATGGATTTGACATCAAAGGCCAATCAGAAACTCTGGGATCTGAAAAGCGAAGAAAAAAAATACTTATCATAATAATATATTTAAGTTTGTGAAAAAGATTGTAACGTAAAAGATCACAACTCGTAAAAAGGTACGAAAAATTATTAATTACCATATAAAGAAAAGAACTAAAGATTATATCATTTAATGGAAACATCTTTTTGACATAATTAAATAATTTTTGTTTATGATTATATTATTATACACTATTAATTATAATATTATACTATGATTATTTCTATTATTTTTATATATACATATTTTTTATAGCTTATATGATATTATACATGCAATCTTTTTCATAAATATAAAATTCAACTAAATACTTTTTTATCTGTTTACTTACCCGAAATTTCATCGATAAGATAATGATAAATATCCATAATTCCCATATCCTGGAAAATAAAATCAATAAAAGAAAGACAGTTTTTTGATTACTGTTCACATTAATATTAAACAAATCTAAGAAAACTTTAATAGCCAATAAATTTAGAAATAATGTAGTACACGGAGAGAATTTTTTTTTAGAGTTTATCCTGAAAATATGAGATAGTCGTGAGTTTGATATATCATTATCGTGAGTCGATACATCATTGTATTTCGAAAAAAATTTTATATAAATCTCTCTCATTCATTAATAAAACTACCATAAAATATAAAATGAGTTTAATATAAATTAATTTTACTGAAATGCATCTACTTAATTTTACTCAAATGCATAAAAATCTTTAAAATATTGTATTGTATCACAACTATATATTTTCAGGTTAAATTGTAAAAGAAAATACTCTCCGTGTAACAATAAAGATATGTTACATTATGGATGAAGTTACAAAGTGATATCGCATGTGTATGTGATGGAGGGAATAAGTGAAACTCTCGTAATCATTGAACTTCTGTCACGCAGTTGATTGCTAACATCGATTAAACGTAGTGTCGGGTCAGCATTGTACAAAAATATTTTGCTGTTTCAATTAGAATTATAGCTGTTTTTTTATAGCACAAAATCTAAATTCTATCTCTGTCATCTATATGATTAGATGCAATACATATCCAATATCGCAGTATACTTGCTAGAAATTTATCTATTTAGCTATTTTTCGTACTTAGATAATTTTCGCTATAATTGCAAGATCACTTTTTTGAGTGTATCGAAATATCTGTGTAGATAAAGTTAATTTTGAATAAAGTAGAGAGATATTTCAAACAGAGAAACATGACAATTTATTAGTAAACACTAGTTTAGACAATAAAAAATTATTTTCTGCGCTTGTTAATTTTAGTGGAGATTTAATCCTCTATATTTATAAAAGCCAGCATCGCTTATATAATCCCCTAAAAATTAATTGTGTTAACACTTTGACATAAATCTATTTTTTTTTATCATTTTATTTAATATCACGAGCATATAACAACAAATAACAATACAATTTTGATTTGTATGAACAGTAACGGTTTTAGACATATTGTTTTATTTAATTGCGGCAGTATATAGTAACAATGCAATTTTTATTCGTACGATCGATAACGTTTCTAAACATATCTATTAATCCTTCACTGGCATCATGAAATTTTCGATCATGGCTTGCAGTTTGATATGTTAAGAGTTACTACTATTGTTTTTATTGTTTCGGACTATATAAAAATCTGAAAAAATTCTTGTATACTTGTGAAACTTTTAAAACGTGATATGAGTTAAAAATTCGTAACTTTTATATGAGTAAATGAAAAGAAATCTTTTTAAGCTATAATACTGAAGGATATGTACTTAAAAAAAAAAGGTTGCCTTGAAAAAATTGAATTATTTGAGAACATGAAAATGCAAATTTTTATGAGTTAAAAAACGTAGTAAAACGCAGGAGTTTTTTTCATATTACAAAAATCTATTAACACAACATTTTTAAATATTAATAGAAAAAATATGTAAAGTGCAAAAATATATTTATAAAAAAAAAATTCATTGACACCAGTAAAAAAATAATAACAAATGTAGAAAAACTAATTTTAAATTTCTATAAATGTTAAAATTATTGTAAAAAATATATAAAATACGAAAAAGAATAAAAAAATTTTGAAATAAATACTTACGCGGATTGCACTTTGGATCATAGAGGGTATCGACTTTTATTCGTTCTTGCAACGAAACAAATAACTGCATTGGCGACCCTGTACACATACGATGTCATTATCATCGAGTTTTTTTAGGATGCGATAGTGAGCCCTGCCATCTATCCATTTTCTTAAAAAGTTCACAATTAAAATATCGATAAAATATGTGCCTTAAAAATTTCATGGTGCTGGTGGAGAGTGAAATATGAATATTTTATGTTATCAAACAGTATTTTAAATACACTTCCATATTGTCGCATTCTAATATGTATAATAATAATACTTTGGCACATTTGAAGCTGCGAATAAAGGATTGAGACGATGGTGAAGTGAAATAAGCAGTTTAACCCGCGATTAACTTATAAAATCAAATTTTGTTGAGCTCTCGGATTACATGTCTTTACTCTTCGGAATTTAACGATCAAATCTCCCTTCTCTATGCTTGCGAAATTTTCAATACTCTTCGAGATCCCGGTAAAAATTTTTTCATGCATGAAAAACGTATCATGATGAATACGTGTAAATATGTATTAAACATATTAGGTGTTGGAATTAATTCGTAGCGTTTTACAAGTGATGGGAAGTACTTTCATTAATGTATTTTTTAATGCTCATGTGAAATAAATAACATTCTTTCATTAAAAACGCTACGAATTAATTCCAACACCTAATACATAAACACACATAAATATTCATGTATAATTATATATGAAATATATCCATACATGTTCGTTCATACATCCTTTTTTTATAAAATTACTTTTTAGTATAATAGAAATAATATAATAATAATGTGAAAATATTAAAAATAATTAGAGGTAATTTTTGTACTATTTGTTTTAGAAAAAAATCAAGTTTGAAGAAATGTAAAAAAATTACTTACGTATAATTGTATACAAAATTATGCATAATTATGTATGAGCAATTTTTTTTTACATTTTTCCAAACTTGTTTTTTTCTAAAACAAACAATGTGAAAATTATCCCTTTAATTACAATATTTTTTATGTTTTCACATTACTATTATTATGTATTAGGTGTAGTAAAAATAATGGATTTCTTTGTACTACACCTAATATTTCTATTATCTAAAAAAAAGTAATTTTACAAAAGAAAGAAGGATATATGAACATGTATGGACATATTTCATATATAATTATACATGTTGCAATCGCACTCACGAACGTGGTGCAACTTCGCGCGTTCGCAGCTAATTCTCTCTCGACTCGCTAGGATTCCTCTCGTTATACGAATATTCGTCTGACCTTAAAGGAAACGCGACAGAAAGGGTGTCTTTACGCGGCCACTTCTGAAGGCGACGTCAGATCTCGAAACCGATAGTTGGGCGCCAGGCACGAGTGAGCGTGCCATTCTTTATCGAAATTAATCAGGATATTCTCCACGCGATATTCTACAGAAGTACGAACGTCGACGGCTCTCGTAACCGTCAGCTCAGCCTCGGAAATGGCAGAGAGGGCGGTTCGCGATCGAGTATAGAGGATCGTTTGGGGAGGCGAGTATAACGACGGCAATGAAACATACAATAATTAGTAATAATAAGAAATAACAAATATATTTGATGAATCTCCGACTCTCGTTCGTACCCGTCGATAATATCACGACGACAGTATGTGATTGAAATGCGTTACGTTAGCCATGCGTTATTACGTGTCCCGATATGCTCTACGCGATGCGGATTACTTACGCTAACTCTCGAAGGCACGCAAAAATATTTTTCGTCCGAATCGCACGAATGATAGCTCGACGCTTTGACAGCCGAGATAGGAAACGGTAGATTACGGTGTTACCACAAACACGGTGCAACCTCGTGCTCGTCTGCGGGGCTTCGTCCGTTTTACAGACTGTCGGAAAGAGATAAAGGACACGCAGACATCACGATATAGAGTTCTGATACAAACAAGACAAATCGAGGTATGCGACAAGACTTAACGAAAATGATTAAACTATGGCTCAGGCGGATGCGGAAAATGAAAACTCTCCCGAAAATCTTATAACGAGTCGTCGCGGGAGGCGCTTAGACACAACACCGCGAAAAATCTGACGCACAGCAACTCCGCGTACGTCTCACATACAAAATCCGACAACGATAATTACACGCGCCTCCCGGACATACAAATTGACGACCTTACACTGCGCTCGTCTCCGGCAATCCCCTCTCGACTTTCGGTTCGTTATTCAGCGACCTGCATCTCTCACCTAGTGCTCCTCTCTTGCTCGTCACAGCACAAGTGCCGGGTACTTCGTTCTCAATCGCTCTCCTCTCCTTAGTCTCAGCCGTCTTCCTCTTCGCCGCAAAATTCACAAGGTCGCAAGGGGAGGGAGGGTTATCAATTATCCTGTAAAACTTATGATACGACACGCACGAAAAAACGATACATCGATGCAGAAAATCTGCGGGACGCACAAATAAAAATAAATGCGAAACAGACGAGACAATAGGTATGTGAAGTTAGCACCCCAACTATAGTACTCAGAAGGAATAATTATTTTTAAATAATTTTTGAAAAATGGGGTGCTAACTTCTCATCGAAAATCGAGATCGAATAGTTCTGAGTGGCTCAATAGCTTCATTTCGTGAATATCTAGAGTTCCTGATGCATAAAAAAAAATTTTGAAAAATCAAAAAAAAATTAAAAATTTTTGAAAAATCAATTTTTAGATACAATAACTTTTAATGAGACGAAGAGTTCTCTATATTTTTTAATGCAAGATTCATTTAATAACGATTTTTAAATAATTTTTAAAAAATTTTTTGGAAAAAAATTTTTTTTATAAAATAGTTCTGTGACACGTTAATTGTCATTCTAACAATTTCGAAGAGTTCTCAGCAATTAAAACCAACTCAATAATAAAAAAGATATACACTTAAAATGAAATTTGAAAAATCGATTGCAGAAGTACGTATTTCCTTATGTAGTCATCCAATCGCTTTGTCACCTATATTTTTCGAATTAAAAAATTTTTCGACATTATGATACGGAGACATTTGAACTCTATCATTGAAAATTTTCTAAGTCCGACATCGAAAAATTTTTTGAGAGTACTGAGTAGTTCTGATTAGAGTTCTATGTAGTTCTCGACTCGACGAGTTCTGTCAAAAAATATTAGGTGACAAAGCAATTGGATGACTACATAAGGAAATACGTACTTCTGCAATCGATTTTTCAAATTTCGTTTTAAGTGTATATCTTTTTTATTATTGAGTCTGTGTTGGTTTTAATTGCTAAGAACTCTTCGAAATTGTTAGAATGACAATTAACATGTCACAGAATTATTTTATAAAAAAAATTTTTTTTCCAAAAAATTTTTTAAAAATTATTTAAAAATTGTTATTAAATGAATCTTGCATTAAAAAATATAGAAAACTCTTCGTCTCGTTAAAAGGAAGCAGGAACTCTAATCAGAACTATTATCTAAAAATTAATTTTTCAAAAATTTTTAATTTTTTTTTATTTTTCAAAATTTTTTTTTATGTATCAGGAACTCTAGGTATTCAAACCTAAATGAAGCTTGAGCCACTCAGAATTATTCGATCTCGATTTTCGATGAGAAGTTAGCACCCCATTTTTTAAAAATTGTTTAAAAATAATTATTAAGTGGAACTCTTGTTATAAATTATGTAGAACTCTTTGTCTCGTCAAAAAGAAACGGGAACTCTAATCAGAACTCCTGAGTACTATAGTTGGGGTGCTAACTTCACATACCCCGAGACAATGTTAAAAAGGTGCACAGATACCGCCTTAAAAAGTGCTAGACTTGCTCTGTCATTTCCGATCGGGTCTTACGATTCTTGTAACGGAAAAGAAAAACGCATAAATATTCATAAACATTGTGACGTGACTGATTGTGCCTTCTCTCCTTCCACGATCTTTTGCGAGTTCGTCATACGTGATCCATTTTTCAGTCATTCTCAGAAATGGCTCAATTTCATTCCGTTTCAATAGCGTCTGTCGCAAATGTTAATTCCATCATGTTCTTAACACTCAACTCGTGAGGAACCTAAACATCGAGCTTCTTTTTGTATCCAGCTTTGTGTAAATGATTTAAAACTGTTTTGTGGTCAATGCCTAGTTCCCTAGCAATCTCCACAGTGCTCACATGCTTATCACGCTCGACTTTTTCCATGATTTCATCACTTTTCAGTGATTGGTCGACCGGAGCGAGATTCATCTTTCATATCGAAATTTCCAGTATAAAAATGAGCGAACCATTTCCGTGCTGCTGATTTTGATAGAGTATCTTCACCGTAAATAGCACAAATTTTTTTCACAAGCCTGTGCAGCCTTCTTGCCTTTATCGTAGTAGTACTGCAAAATGTAGCGAATTTTTTCCTTATTTATTTCCATTTTCAAAATAAAATAACTTTTGTTCCACTTCACCGATTTCAATCTTTTTCGGCTCAAAACAAAGGTTGAAATGTCACTTTTTACGCACGTCTAGTGTTGTCAATGCGATTAATAGTTATCGACTGCTGAGCATTTAATGTCATCTAGTGGGAAAAACGCTACAAACTTTTTCCCACATCTAATACATAAAAAATTGTTTACCGGAATCTTTCTTAAATAATCAAAAAATTTTTTCCGCGGGTCATTGTTATTTATCATAGTTACGTTTCCAATTTAAAATAAAGACATTTAAATTTCCGAAACAGTTATTTAAATGTCGAGAATGAAAATTATGAAATATATTATATAAATATAATATGTTTTATATATTTATTTTAACTGAGCGACATACTGTGCAAAAAAAATACTTGTCAAATGTCAAGGAAAAAGTGTTCGGAAAAATGTGTTTAAATGCCTATTGTCTTCATGAAAACTAAGTCAGTCATATGTACAAGTAATATGTATTTATTCGGAACTGTCATACCTTCGTTTAAAGTCGAGTCATGATGATGTAATAATCGGAATACATATATGATAAAAGCTTTTGACTTGTAAAATTTAAATTTGAAATATAAGTAATGATGAAAATGAAAATCATTCTTTCGGAAATCAAAACTTTATTAATTACGATTAATGAAAAAGGATGAACACTTATTAAAAATTGAGCATTTTAGCAATAATTAAGATACACACCTTTGGAGAAAGATTTGGTAATCTCTTCTTACATTGTGACTTTAATTTGTACATGTCCATCGACATTTAAGAAACCAACTCTTGTGTGAATAATATTGATGTTAACAACCCCTCGTGTTGGTAACCACTGCGCTTTGCGTTCATCTGCAGGCCAAGAACCCCTAACGTCGGCTTAGAGCGCAGGGTTGTAATTGATGAACAAAACGCCCCGTGAAGAATTTATCGTTAAATACAGCTAAAATATACATTAAATAAAAAAGAATGATATAATAAAATTAATAAAAATCACGTATTTTTTTCTTATAACATTAAATATATACAATTATGACATTAAATATATATTTACAATTTTACAATTCATTTTCAGTTTTTTATTTTACATAGGAACATTTTTACATTGTAAATTATTATAAGATCTTATAATATAGATATAAATAAAAAAGAAGTTTATGAATTATAAGCAAAACTTTATCCTTTTTTTTTATTTTGTATGTATTTAATATGTTATTTATTATATAATAATTCATTTTAATAATATCTCCTATATTATTTAAATAATCATTGGCATAATAAATTCTGAGGCTACATATTTTATATTAGATTGATCGATAATAATATAAAAAAAAATATTTCACGTGTAAAAATTGATTTGATGGATGCAAGTATACAGCCATGGTGACAAATTATATTCTAGTATAGATGTATGGCTTCTTAGTTATTTAAATGTGGATTAGCCGACTCATACTTGTCTTGATATTACTATTCGAGTTGAGAAGACAGTCACGAATTGACCTTTTCTTAGTATTAGAAATTTATTGCTCGATCTCCTTTAATCAGATCATCCAACTACTGCGTTTCGCATAATTGAACCGGACAAATTGATTTCCGTGTCTAGAATTCGTTATTTCTTCCTTTTCTCTCTCTCTCTCTCTCTCTCTCACACACTCTCTACAAAAATCGAAAAGCAAGTATATGCTTTTGTATTTTTGCAAAGAATATTTGTGATAAGATAAAATAAGGATGATGTTATATGAATTTTATATAGTATTATACATCTAGAAAATATATATGTAAGATCTTATAATAATTTACACTGTTAAGAAGACAAAACATGTAGAAAATAATTACTAAACGTATACTGAAAAGATATTTGCAATGCATTAGAACAAAATTGAAACCTGGGAATATATTAAATACTTATAAAAAGTTTATAATAAATTAAATACTTTTTGAGCTATTAAAATATAAAATAAATATTTTTTACTTATTTTTTTTTGAAATATTAAATGCTAAAAAGCCAAATTTTTTATGTAATATTTGATCATATATTTAATCATTAAATTATTTTCTTTTTAATAATACTCTACTTTTTTAGTTTTAGTTATTAATTTAAATAAGAAAGACAGGAACATCTAAATAATTATATATGCATAAATAATTTAAATAGAATGTATAAACATTTTAATAATTGTAAGAAAATATTATTTGAGATTTTCCGTCGATGCCATCTATCTATTTCAAGAGCAACATTATTAAAAGTTTATCGATAAAGCATTTACTATTAATATCATTACTAAAACAATTTTTTATTTATTTATAACATAAAATTATTTATCAACAAATAGTATATGTATGAAAGGCAATTATTTTTTATGTAACATTATTTGCTTTATTATTGAAGATATTATCTACTGATGATAGAACCTTATTTACCGGTAGAAGTTTATATAGAGCGTATATAGAAAGTGTTTTAACTTTTCTTATTTATCTACTTCTATCTTACTTATCAAAAATATAGATTATGAAACAATTTATTATCATATTACAATAGTATAACGCGTCTTTAGTTTTATGATAATGATAATGCAACTTTTTGTATTTGTATCTAAACAAAAAATAACATATATTTCAATCATTAAATTATAGATTTTTTATGCAAAAAGAATTTGTATTGATAATTACAATTAAGATATATTAATATTATAAATGTAAAAAATATAAAAATAATCTATAATTAAAGAAATATAATAGTTTTTATAATATTGGATAGCAATTCAGTTTAGAAATTTTTACCCAACATACTATTTAACATCATCTTCAAGAAGAAATCTCTTGCTTCAAGGTCTCGAAGAGTTAATAAATGACTAGATTGTGTGTGAACATTCTTTATACCCAAGGGGATGAACAATATATGCACAAGTATACTGGTAAACACTTGAAACAAATTATGTAAGCCTTTAACTTGTAGACCAGTATAGCTCAGAGACAGTTTAAGTCGTAAAGTACAAGATGCACATATGAAGAGAGAATAGGGAAAAATTGCTTGGGAAGGCTACTTTCATACATATTTGCATAAGTGGCTGCATCTAAAATTTGATAGAGGGAACAGAAGGGGCACTTTTGAAATGTATCATCTTATCTTGGTTAAGGATATATTAAAAATGCGTTAGACGAATTACTATATTATTAATGATTTTAATTAATGTTATCTTTAACATAAATGTGTCTTAAGATTATAATTTTAGAAAAGTAGAGCAAAGAATGTTTGAAAATAATATATGGAATTTATTGTTTTATGAGTTTATTTAGAAATATATAAAAATAAATTATATATAGCTATATTATATAGAGATATTATATAGAGCATTTCTGTTATATAAACAAATTAAAGTTACGTTTAAGAAATATTTTTACATTAAATCGTTTTTTGTCACAACATTTCAAATGTTTATTCTCATTCCTTGCAAATCTCTAATAGCAATAAGAATTAACTTAATATGAGCGTTGGTTCTTGCAATCGCTTTCCGTAAATTCGCTATTTGTTGCTCAAGTAACGTGATCCGTATATTTATAATGATTAAAGCTTCATTCAAAGTAAATTCAATATAATGTCCTAAACCAACATCCAATAAGATCTTGGAAGCATCTGGAACGTGTGCTTGAATAAAGAAATTATTTCGAATATCGACTTTGGTTTTGAAACCAGTTTTTTCAACGTTTGTATTTTGAAACGTCGTTATCACTGATTTCAATTGTAAAAATTCGGCGACGTCAGCATTTTTAGTGTTAAGTTTTTCGGCCAGTTTTGCAAGATCGGCTTTCAGCACGTCATTTATGAAGCTTTCAAATTGTAAGATCTTCTGTTGAATTTGTGGATCCATAATTAAGCTCTTGCACTATAAAATACGAAAAATGAGATTAGTTTACATATATATAAAACATAATGGATGAAAAATTCAAACATTAAAATCAACTAACATGTTAATAATCTGGTTAGTAAGATATTTCTCTTATGAAATCAGACAACGGGTGCCTTGTTCATAAAATTCTTTGGACTGAGACCTGAACCCAACATAAACAGTCTTCTGCACTGTTGTGTTCGATGGAAATTTCCTGCCTTTTAAATTCTTCTTCAGTCCCCAAAGATATGAAAATCGCATGATGACAAATCTGGATTACAGACAAGATATTCCAGTATTTTCCCACCGAAACTATGCCATGTAATTTATACATCTCTGGAGATTTGTACCCTGATTTTGTAATTTTTAACGAGAGGATCGATATCATTATATTGTCGTTATAGATAATATACTTGGTAAAAAAAGCTGGGCAACAATAATGTAATGATACTGAACTATTGTTACAGAATAAGTATACTGAAGAAGAATCTGAAAGATATAAAATTTCCATTAGACACAGCAATGCAGGAGACTGTTTACAAATGGGTTTGATTCCAGTAGCCTAAGGAATTTTCTGAATAGAGCATCCACCGTTTATTTTCACAATAAAAAAGTGTCTTACCAACTATGATTATTAACAAGTTAGTTAATTCCAATGTCTGAATTTTTCATCAGCTATATTTCATTTGACTGCTCCTAGTAAGTATAAAGAGAGAGAGACAGAGAGAGAGAGAGAGAACAGCTTGTATATAGATTTAAATAATATGATGTTTGGAACGCGCAAATATTCATGCGGTATATATAATCGTGTAGAGGTATAGAATAAGAAATGAAGAAAACCAAGTATTAAAAAATATATGTAATGTATTAAACAAAAGAACGTCATTAAACATATCTCGCTAGAAAAATAGGTTATGTCACATCTAACAATTATGTACACATATTTTGTTTATATTTTGGTTTGTGTAATAACCAATATCACTCACATTATCGAATTTAGATTAAAATATACCAGAGTCAAAGAAAATCACAAGTATAATCCTTTTAGTAAACCCAACATTTTTACATTATATTGTGATAATCTGACTATGCGTCGCATTATGCGACATTTTGACCTAGCGGAATTATCAACAAATAACACATTCAGTGGGTGGTAACGCAACAGCTGCTAAGGAAGATTCCGACCAAATTCTAGTCCGTCGATTTTTTAGATAAAAAAAATATTTCTTTTTAAAAACCATTAATTCTTGTTGTATATATTTTTCTATTTTATTTATCTAATTATTTATTTCATATATCAATAATTTTTTATACCATGTGCATATAGTATAAAAAAATGCATCAAATATGAAATAAAATTTATTCTTAATTTAGTATTTTTAATTAAGTACGTATTTATATTTATACGAACTAACATTTGTTTTTAATTAAATGCTTTGATATAAATAGTAATTTTTTAACGATAAAATTTATGTAATACTTATAAACATTGTAGCAATACATCAAATTATTAATACGTATAAAAGTTATGTATTTGTTTACATTTGATTAATTAGATGTTTTAAATTTTAATATTAATTTTTGATAAAAATATTATTAATAAGCTTTGAGAAAATCGTTTATATAAGTAATGTTAGAATTTGTATGTCTTAGTCTGAATTTTGTATAAGGTAGTTATAAGACCATTTAATGTCCATCTTGCTGTAGATCATATTGCTCATTTTTTCCCGATAACTTCGACATGACAACATTGGCAATATATCGTCAGAAATCTTTTGCATAATTTTATAGGATGCTGCTCAATTATATAATACATGCACAGCATACCTGATGTGCACCTGGATTGGATAATAAGCAGTATATATATATATATATTAAGAACACCCTTTTATTTCTCGGAAACTATCGCATTTTATTAAAACTGATAAAAACATAATTTGTTTAAATAATTAAAGAAGTAAAAATTCATAATTTATAATAAAAAAATTAACGTTCATGATGTATTAAATTTATCATAGAATTTACAAACAAATGATAAACAATTGGCAATTAGCAAAAAAGCAACTGGGAATTAGCACTGTAAACGGCGCGCAGTTTGCTTTGAAAAAACTTATCTCAAATAAAAAGAATTAACTTGTACATGTTTCGGCTAAACTTTTATCTTTCTTCAGTCAAAACAAACTTATTACAGTAGGATGTTATCCATTAGTTGCAACCCAAATCAAAAGAAAAAGAAATAATTACAGTAAATTGTTGTCCGGTCGAAATCATTGTGAGACGGTAACCATTTCCTCCATTATAGGATAAACTCTCCAGTTGAAAGGCTGGATGGTAGTGAATGACTAGTAGGAATCTCACAATGATATAACCAACGATTATAATCGTAAAATATTTGAATCTTAAAATTAATAATTGCAATACAGTTACAGGCAGGTTGTCAATGAATAAAATCATATTGAAATAAAATGGTGATCCACTGTCAATTATGTTAATAATTAAAATGAGAAAAATTAAGTTCGATACGAAATAAGGTAGTATTGAAATTCTATTGCAGAATTTATATTTTAAAATATTCTTTATGTTATTTAATATAATAACAATAATATGGCAAATGAGAGTAATGGTGCGATAAATGGAGCGCAGATTTTTAGTATATTTGAACTATGAATGTATTACATTATTTTGTTATTTGTTCACTTACTCATAAATTATATTATTTTGACACTAAGAAATATTGAATATTAATTTCATTCAAAATATCCAAATAACAATCATATGTTAAATTAACTCAAATATGTTAAACATTTAATACAAAATTTTAATAAAGATATGAATGGATCGTTCAATACAAAAATTTTTATTGTTTACAAAATTCTTTCAATCGGTGAAATATATTTTATTTGATAGGTATAGACTAAAGTTCTTATCCTATGATGACCTTTTTAAGACTTGTAATTTAATTTGTAACTTGAATTTCTGCCTTTATGTCAAATTTACGGGAAATATATTTAAGTTTTACAAAAGTTAGCAGTCGATAATAGCTATACTTTGTTGTATATGAAATTTTTTATCAAAAGTGTCGATTTTGATCATTTAAAAAAGGGAATTAATTCTTAATATGAGATACAAGGGTTTTTTCTTGTATGAGATGGTATTTCGTAACAGAAAACTAAGGAAAAAAATAAAGAAAGAGATAAGCTTTTTATACCCTTTTATTGTATTACATACAAGTAGGAACAAAGAATTTAAATAACAATACAGAAAAAGGGCTACGAGCCAAAAATTATTTTACAAAATTAAACATGTGTGTGAATAATCTTAACCATAGAATCGTCTTTTTTAATTTCGTTCGATAGCATACTTTAAGATATTAAATTGTTTAGATACTCTTATGTTAGCTAGGAATAGTTCTGAGTCTCTCATATTACGACTTTCATACCTTGCGGTTGCATGATCATCAAATCTAATCTTTACAGTTAAACAAATCACTGTATCACGTGTTTTCCTGTGAATACAATCTTGCTGCATGCAGACTTTATTATCTAATATTTATTTTTATATAATAAAATAAGATTTGAAGTCTCTCTCTCTCTCTCTCTCTCTCTCTCTCTCTCTCTCTCTCCCCGTTCTTC